TAACAAACCTTTCTTCATGGTTCAATGTTTTAAACCAAGTAACACACTAGTGGTACTATCTCTACATTCTATTCAAAATATCAGTTTTTTTTGTACATGAAACCTGATATCAAGATACGTTGTACATGAACTATCCTGTCATGTGTGTCAAATGTACATGTAATATCCAGATGTGTATGAAAGTTGGTAAGGTAATTCTTCTTATTAACTTCCAGGGATGATGTTGGGGTGGACAGTAAGGTGTTTCAATCTCTTCAGATCCTCTACAGACCGAAGTATCCAAGTCTGAAAGGGTCTTGTTGGAAAGTCAAAGAAAAAGCTAAATCAGAGCAAGGTGATCTGTCATGAACAGTGCTGTGACTATAGCTATTCTAGTAAAAACATTTTGTCTTAAGTAATGTACATACAGTTATCTATCAGGAGAGTGATCTTGTGTCTATGTATTAAATATAACATTATTTGCCAGGAGGTAATAATTTTAAAAGCTTTGTTAATCTTCTGCCTGTCAGTTTATAAAGTTTCTTATTTTGATTCATTTTCAGCAAGTGAAAATGTTGTATTATGTTTACATAATTGGTTTTGAATTAAGATGCAAGATTAGTCTTGAATATGGTAGTTAATTTTTACTTTCCTTGTATTTTATGAAGCAACTTTCCGTGATGTACGGAGAAGTCCCAGGCTGAGAAAGTGTCGTAGTGTAACCCTTAATGTGTCACTTCGAGCAGCAGACATGGTGCAGAAAAGTGTCAACACGCATAAAAGACATATGCCAACAAAGTATAAGGAGCTAAGTGGGGTAGAATTCTGCAGGAGTATCAATAAGATCCAGAATGTAGCCAAAGAACAAGCAAATAAGAAACAGATTGTTTCTGTTCAAGACCTGACTAGCCAGGGTGAGGCTTATGAACCAGGTAGACAAGTTAACATATAATATTAAAAGCTTTAGGAGGCTCAAATTCTTTAGTTGTAATTTTACAGAATTCTGTAATTTTAAATGCCTATTTCCACCCAAACAGCTGTATTGTTTATGAGACTTTGTTTTGTCTCTGATTCTAAGACTTTCTACTAAACATGAAACCCCAGTTAAATACTAATGTAACATACAATTCATATTCATATCTTATTTCTTTAAGTTTGGATTTTTTTTCACTTCATACAGATTTCACCGATGAAAATCAGCTAGTGTCACACTTAAAGCAAGTTTACAACTTGGCTGTCGAAGGAGAAACATCAATTCTCTCATCTGTTCAGACTCTTGTCAACCTTGTTTTGTACTTTGTGAAGGACAAGAAACAATTTGAGGTACTTTTTGATCTGCTGGTTGATGTAACGGTTGTTTTAGTAGCTTAAACCATGTTAAACATTCACCACATTCCTGTTTTAGTAAAACTTAAAATAGACGACACAGGAATAAATACACCATGTTAAATGTGTACTGACACATACACTATATTTGTGTTCAACAACTGTTTTAGTAAAACTTAAAATAGACACACAGGAATAAATACACCATGTTAAATGTGTACTGACACATACACTATATTTGTGTTTAACAACTGTTTTAGTAAAACTTAAAATAGACTACACAGGAATAAATACACCATGTTAAATGTGTACTGACACATACACTATATTTGTGTTTAACAAC